ATTTCCCCTCAACCCCTTGTTTCGCATCGCCAGCATGCATAGCATCATCTGCATCATCCGGAATGATGCTGGCAATGCTGGGGGTGTTGTCCAGTATTAGGCACCCCCCAAGAAGCGCTCGTTTTGTGACTCTGCGGGGAGATGCTACAAAACTCCTCAAAAATCGCTTAAACAAATCCGCAAATCCTTCGCCCCTTATAAGGGAGGGCCCAGCATAAAACGTATGCGCATGTTCTGATCATGGTCCGCTCATGGTCGGCGGCATGGGCGCGCGGCCTTATACCTGAAGGTAAGCCCTACCGGGCTTTGGCCCCCAGTGCCGCCGACCCCTGGCTTTAGTTGTGGTTTTCGAGCAACCAAAAACAGTGCCCTTGGTTTTGGTTTCTTTGGTTTCTTTTTGACCCAAATGGCATCTGAGGCGAGGTGCCGTTTCGACAGTGATGCGTAGTCATAATTATGATCATCGCTGCTGGAGATGCTGGGGATGCGTAGTGATGATTATCCTCATGATTGCCAGAGATGCTGCGAATGATGCGTAGTGATGATTATCATCAAGGCAGGACTCCAAATCTCAATGACACAAATGGCATCTGAGGCGAGGTGCCGTTTCGATAATGATGCGTAGTCATGATCATCGCTAGGCACCCTTGGTGTTGCAGAGGATGCTACGATGATAGTGATCATGATAGTCATCCGCAGCTTTGGTAATGCAAAAAATGCCACGATGATAGTTATCATAAGAGTCATCATCCTCATCATCTTCATCATGATTGTCATCATAGTCATCGCCTTCATCATCGTCATCATGATATTCTTCTATCATTTCAAATGCGGTATTAGGCATCCTTGGTAATGCAGAGGATGCTACGATGATAGTTATCATGACAGTCATCCGCAGCTTTGGTAATGCAGAGGATGCTACGATGATAGTTATCATAAGAGTCATCATCCTTATCATCTTCATGATGGTTGTCATCCTAGTTATCGCCTTCATCATCGTCATCATGATTTTCTTCTACCATCATCCTTATCATCTTCATGATGATTGTCATCATAGTCATCGCCTGCATCATCGTCATCATGAGTGTCATCATCATCATCATCATCATCATCATCTGTTTCTTCTATCTTTCTTCTATATACATTTCAATCGTGGCGTTAGGCATGACATCTCTTGGCTCCAGCTTGAGCAAATCCCTCAATGAAATCATATAAAACTCTGATGACAAACACACACTTTTAACCAGCCTGAGTGAACAAATAATAAGAAAATAAGAACTTCATATTTCAAATGTGGCGTTAGGAACCTTTGGTAATGCAAAAAATGCTACGATGATAGTTATCATAAGAGTCATCATCCTCATCATCTTCATGATGATTGTCATCATAGTCATCGCCTTCATCATTGTCATCATGATCATCATCATCATCTCTTTCTTCTATCTTTCTTCTAGATACATTTCAAATGTGGCGTTAGGCACCCTTGGTAATGCAGAGAATGCTACGATGATAGTTATCATGACAGTCATCCGCAGCTTTGGTAATGCAGAGGATGCTACGATGATAGTTATCATAAGAGTCGTCATCCTTATCATCTTCATGATGATTGTCATCATAGTCATCGCCTTCATCATCGTCATCATCATTGTCATCATCAATTGTCACATCATCTCTTCTTCTATCTTTCTTGTATACTTCTATATATGGCGTTAGGCATCCTTGGTAATGCAGAGGATGCTACGATGATAGTTATCATGACAGTCATCCACAGCTTTGGTAATGCAGAGGATGTTACGATGATAGTCCTTATCATCTTCATGATGATTGTCATCATAGTCATCGCCTTCATCATTGTCATCATGATCATCATCATCATCTCTTTCTTCTATCTTTCTTCTATATACAAAGATGAGGGCTGTGATGATATATATCATCGTAGCATCCTCGGCATCATCAGTGCCGGCTAACAAGAGATGATGATGACCATGATGATAGTGATGATAAGGCTGAGGACTGTGATGATAACCATCATCGTAGCATCCTCTGCATTGCCAATGGGGTCTAACGTTACTTTTGAAATGCATATAAGAATAAGAATAAGAATGAGATGATGATGATCATCATGATGATGATGAGAAGAGCGATGACATCATAATAAGGATGATCATGATGATGATTATGATGGTAACTATCATCATAACACCCTTTGCATCACCAGTGCTGCCTAATAAGAGATGATGATGACATCCTCGGCATCACCAGTGCCGGCTAATAAGAGATGATGATGTTGAAGGATATAGAAATGATGATGATGTTGACGATAAGAATGATGAAGGATCATATCGATGATGATGATGATGATGGGCATCCGTATGATGCCAGTAGTCATATGCTTGCCTCAAAGATTAATCCATGCGCTTGTACTGCAACCACCCTTCCCGTGCGCCTCCCCTTTGAGGAGAAGGGGTCGGCGGATATAGGTTTGTCATGAGCTGGCCTTTGGGTGAGGTGTTGTTTCTTGCGGCCGCTTGGCTGGAGGTGTTTCTCCATGTTCCCATTAAGAAGAGGCACCAATTTTCAGGGTCCCGGATGGACAAAATCCGATTCGCATGAGTTGGTAGGTAGTTGATTCACCTTTATCCCGATTGTTTACATGATTGTATCTATGTCAAATGGTTCGAAACGGATTTCGCCCCACACAATTTTGACAACCCCTTTATCCTCCCTCCCCCCCTGGCTTACCAAGCCCGGGCCCGTGGCATTGCAGCCGAGGTTGAGACCCTCTTCGCCGGCTTCAAAGGCGAGGAGCCCTTCTACCGCCCCCCGGTCCACGGCCGCCTGGCCGAAGTCGATTCACATCTCGCCTTCGTCTCGCATGTCTCGCGAGCGCGTTTTGCACGCGTGCAAAGCGAAAGCGGGGGATACATGGATGCCCGAAGAATTGCGTAAGTAAACCGACCGCAGGAAGGCTGGGATAAATTACGGGTTTTGGGAGAATTAATCTGATTCATTCATCTACTCAGGTTGTAGGTTGTAACCAAGGTTGTAGTTGGGCGAACTGGGGCTAGTTGGCTTACAACCATGGTCATAGGTTACTCGCTGACTAGGTTGAACATCCGAGTTGTCTTGCCTTGCTTCATATTTGGCATCCACGTCGCCTGAGGTTTGCGGCACCCACAGATCTTCTACTACGGCCCGGGACCAATTGAATCGGGAGCCTTCCTGGCCCCGGTGACAGGGAAGCAGGGGTTTCACACCCCGTATGGATGAAACCTCATGAATGGTTGATAAACCACGATTTTTAGCTCGTGGATTTTGCGCCGCATTGGCAGAGCGGGCATCTTTAGGTGTCAAAAGCACATCAAGCAGCTTGGCGCCAACCGGAAAACGCACCTGTCATCCTCGTTCGGGACCTGAGTTCCTCGACTTGGATCGACTCAGTGTACGTAGCCAAGTCAGGTCACACCCCGTGCCTCTACGTCAACAAGCTCCGGGTCGCGGGCGTGCTGAAGGACTCGAGATCGCACGTGGTGCAGCTCGAAAGAATGAGAGGGTTGCTTGGCTGTTGCCAGCCCTCCCCGTAGGCTTTAAGTTGGTGTTTTGGGGTTAGTGGTGGGGTTTCCCTTTCACCCAGAAGGTATTCACTTTTCGTTGGGGATCTGAAAAAGGACAGCGCAGGTTCGAAAGAGTGGTCCTCACCACAGCCCTGAGGCAAAACTTTGCGTACTGCTACCACTTCGGAGCCCGAGTTGGTGGAAGAGGGCGGTGGTGCAAGAGGGCGCCATAAACAAATTTTACCCAGCACGAGCTGGGCGGGATATGAAGCCCTGAAGGCTGAACGAGACGCCTGACGTGGCTGGCAATGTCCAAGTCACTGGATGCACATGCACGGTGTCCTGTTTGGTTTACTTTTACGACCCACCTCAAGTGGGCTTATGCATGTTTGGTGTGGCTGTTGGGTACGTTTGGTGCACCGGATCCCGTATCTCCATATTGACGAGGGAAATCGGATCGTTGAGGCTTGCGAGCAACAATTCGGGATGTGTCACTATGGGTGGCTCGTCTTTGGTTAGACCCCCAAAATAGCGCAACGGGTGTTCCTTTTTGGTTGCCCTCCAAAACCCACAAAAAAGGGGTACCTGGATCCTCAAACTGCCTGTGAACAAGGGAATTCACACCATTGTTTTGGGTCCATAACCTATTTTAAGGGAATTTTGAGGTTTCAGGTACCCTTGAAGACACACCCAAATAGATGCCCCTGCGTGGTTTCCCTCACACCAACCCCACAGTCACTCGGAAGGAGCCAGTGGACGCCTATATGGAGTCTATCTTTGAGGCCGCGAAAATGTTGGTCAAGCGAAGTGGTTCGCGAATTCAGGGCTACCCCTTTCCCCGTAGACCCGAGCTGTTTTTTAGGGGTGTCAAAAAGACCAGTGCTGACGCCGCATTCGACCATCGAACTCCCCACAAAAAGGAATTAGGTTGGAGGAACCTTGGCAACTGCGGTGCTTTTGTGTGGGAGGGTCCTGTCTTTGGGTACCCTTGCAACAAGCCCAAAGGAGCAACATGTTTAAGGGGTGGAGCGGAACATTTTTGGGGGTCCTGGAGCCTCAATCTACCCGTCAAAATGCGGAGGATGGCAGCCCAAAATGATGCTGCCCGTGCTTAAGGGTAGTTCATGCCTTTCGAATTGCTTGGTGGGAATGGTCATTATTCAACCTCTCAACAGGGCTAGTCCACATCCATGGGCAAGATACCGACTACTGGCACCAAGATGGGTATGCGAAAATGCTTACGACACTGGCGGTGGTGTTGACACACTCTCGGAAAGGTGCCGAGCTCTGACACGGTCAAGTGAAAACGAGGCCGCGAGTAGTTGAGCACTTTGTGGCCGCAGCGCTTGCCTGGATCACTTCAAGAAAATGCACTGGGAAGGCATCAGACAGGCTGCCTCGCATCCAGCCAGCCAAGCATTGACTCAGCCAGAGAAAAAATCACGCGGACACCTTCCCATGTCGGAAAACATCGTGCCATGCCTGCAGAACGATGCCCACAAAATCGGGGCGATCGTATCTTGGACGGATGTTTGGTCACCGTTTGTGCGCAGAAGCCCTTGCTCAGTGATAGTTGGACTCAGGGATGCGTGTTTTTATCAGACGGATCTGAGAGGTAACATGGTATCAACAGTCTTTAAGTACTGTTTTGGGAAAACGTCGTCTTGCGAAGTTTGCCGGGCCCCAAATTACAAACATAAATTTGTCCATAGGTCTTCCCCAGTTTGCTGGGCCGGTATCAAAAAAGTCTCAACTTGTCATGCAAAGCTTTAGCCTTTTGAAGCGACTGGAGACGTACCTCAGTGCGAGTCAGCGAGGTTGCCACCTTGACATCGGTAGCCTCCAGCGGAACTGCACACCTGCTGCAACACATCGGCAAGCACGTGGACCCTGAGTACGCCATACCGCCAGCAGCCCAGCCACCCTGTTTGTCAGCGCCAAAACCGATTGCAAGGGATTCTCATAGGTGGATCTAGTAAGAAAAAGTCATAGAAAAGCCGAAATGTATGGGTCAAATTAAACCAACAGGGAACCGCAGGTTTTAGTCTCTGTTTCCATTTAGCAGGGCAACCGAATTTGGAGTTACCATGTTTTGGACCCAAGCCAGCAAGCATGTTTGTCGGTGTGAAAATCACTGGCCTCCGGGTTGTTCCTGTACACTGGGCGGTTCCAAGATGGTCCCTGACCAATTAATGCCAGACGTGAGCTCATCATGATGATGATCATCATCATCTCCATCTTTTATGTTTTGGTGTTGTGGGTGATATTGGTGTTGTTGGTTGGGGCTATTGGTGCTATTGATGTTATTGGTGTTATTTGTGTTATTGGTGTTATTGTCGTTGTTGGCGTTGTTGGTTTTGTTGGTGTTATAAGTGTGATTGGTGTTGTTGGTGTTGTTGATTTTGTTGGTGCTGTTGGTGTTATTGGTGTTGTTGATTTTGTTGGTGCTGTTGGTGTTATTGGTGTTGTTGGTGTTGTTGGTCTTCTCGGTGTTATTGGTGTAGTTGGTGGTGTTGCAGTTAGTATTATTGGTGCCGTCAGTGTCTCTGGTGGTGTTCGTGTTACTGGTGTTGCTCGTGTTTTTGGTGGTTTTGGTGTTGCGGGCAATGTTGGTTTTGTTGGTGTTATTGGTGCTATTGGTGCCATTGATGTTATTGGTGTTAAGTTCTTGGTGTTATCGGTGGTGTTGGTGGCGTTGGAGTTGTTGGTGTTGTTGTTTGTGTTGTTGGTGTTAGTGTTTGTGTTATTGGTGCTGTTGGTGTTGATGGTGTTGTTAGTGTTACTTGTGTTGTTCATGTTGTTGGTGTTGTGGGCGGTATTGGTGGTATGGGTGTTGTTGGTGCTGTAGGTGTTGTTGGCGCTATTGGTGCTATTGGTGCTACTGATGCTGGTGATGTTGTTGGTGTTGTTGGTGTTGTTGGTGTTGTTAGTGCTACTTGTGTTATTGGTGTTGTTGGTGCTATTGGGGGTTATGGTGCTATTGGTGCTGTAGGTGTTATTGGTGTTGTTGGTGTTGTTGGTGTTGGTGTTGTGTCAACACTGCTTTGTCAGCAGAAACAGCAGCCGCAGCGGCTTCGAAAGCAGCCGCAGCGGCGAGTGGGATAACATGCAGTACGTTGAACCGTAAGTTTGTTCTTGCCAGCAAATAAGCAAGCGGACAATATTGCTACAGTATGAGTTGACAGGTATGTCATCGACAGTCCCCTGGTAACATTGTCGGGTGTCGGATGGCTACGATTTTTCACGGGTAACACGGAAACACCCTCTACTGTGTTGTCATAACTTCCAATGCAAGTGATGTCCCCCGCGACATCCCATGAATTTCATAATTCCACAGCGCTGGAACTGCCTGCGGAGCTGAGGGGCTGCCGGGGGCGCTGGATTCAGGATATATCATGTGGAGGTGTCTACTTCCCAGAGTGACTTGGCCCATTTGATTTTGCGCATGAGAATGTGGGCTGATATTATTGCTGCGGAATTGCGTGCCGAGTTGTGGACTATACCCTTCCTTAAAAAAGAAGTGAGCACCGCCAGTTTCAATGGGAATATGTGGTTGGAGCACCATGTTCGTTCCCTTTCGGAGAAGTGTCACTGGCAAAAAACACTTCAATTCGCGGGCATTCCGAAGCGAGGTATTACATCTTTGGCTTCGGCTTCACCTTCGTTAGTCTTTGCATGGCTCATGCCTTCCAAAAGGCCGGCGCGCTCGCATTTGTCTTGCACTTGTGCCCTGGTCAAAGAAGGCACGGGAATTTCGGCCACCTTTTGGTTCTTGGTCGAAGCATGCCCCACATTTTGGGGATCAATTTCTGCAGCCGTGGGCTTTGCCAGCTTGGTTTCAGCCCTGCGAGGCTGCCTACATTCTGGAGAGATATAGCACGTTGTCCGGAAGGAGCCACTGGTTTTAGACTGGAACTGACAGGTGCCCAAGGAATGCCAAGCAAGAAGCCAAAAGGAAAAGGCATGGAAGGGTTTCTGTGGCGGAACGCCTTGGTTGACTCATCTTCGACGGGTTCCCTCTGACGTCTTGGCTCGTGAGCCGCCTTTAGCAGGAGAAGTGGGTCTAGTGCCCCGTTGTTTGGTGGTTTGAAAGGGAGGAAACCAAGAGGCAAGAGGAAGCCCAACCATCTTGCATTATCCAACCTAAAGAAGACAATCCCTTTTCTCTGTTTGCCTTGTTTTGGGGTCTTGTGTCGTGCCCAAAACCATTGCCCACTTTACTAGGCGGTTCTACCTGGTCGAATTGGAATTGTAGTACCTTGGGCAACCATGTTTGTAGAACCACCAATCCAGTGGCAGTGATGTAAGAAGATCCCAGGCCCATTTCCAAGCTTGAGTTTCCAACCTGAGAACCAGGCCGAGTAAAAGGGAAAGCGACGAAAGCGACGAAAGCCATTGGGTGTGGTACCCTTTGTGGTGTTGAGGGTTTCCCAAAGGACACCTGTATCCGTTTAGGGCTCAAACTGTGCGTGGACAATCTCCTGTACCAGTTGGTGGGTTTCGTCCATCCCAATTTGTGCCTGCCGTGAATAGTTTATCCACAGCAAGATGCCTATCCTTGTATTGGGGTGTGCCCTACTTGACACCGAACCATTTCCTTGTTTAAGACACCCAAAGATTCCGTGCTCTAGGGTTCCCTTTTGTGTGTTCCCTACAAGTCTATGGGTCTGTATTTGGGGGGTCCATTGAGGCCAACCCCCAGGTCTTGGGTTTGAAGGATCCGACCTCGTTGGAAGCGCAGCAACGCAACTCGCGACCCAAGTACCTGGACCCTGGCTTCCCCATCAAAATGGGTTGCCCCGAAATGGATGGTTGGTGATTTTCATTTGTCGGGCAGTTTGAGGGTGAGGTCGGTCTTTCTCTCTTTTCTTGTGTGAGGGGGGGCCCCTCTTTTTACCCGTGTCCCTCTGAGTCTTGAGGGTCCCACGAACGTTTCTCTTGCCGGTGCTCAGGGAATGAGTTGCAATGAGCCGTCTTGGGATTCCGAAAAATAAAAGAAACCAAATGGGATGGATGGTTTTCTTGGGTTGATTCCCTTTCTCATTCCCCACAAATTTATGGGGTGTCCCTAATTCTACGGATCGTTTGGCCCCCACGCGCCTCCCCCCGGCGCCACCCGGCGCGGCGTGGCCGGGAGGATGGTGCGGGTCTTCCGCGTGGCGGGGCTCACGGGGTGCCTGGCCATGGTGCCGATGGCCTGGGTCTCCATGAAGATCAACCGCTCGCGCCTTGGCATGGGAAAAGCGGGGAGGGGGCACGGACGGGGGACGCGGAAAAGGGGGGGGGACAGGGGGTGGACGGGGGCGCTTTTCTTGGTTTTCCACCCGGGGTGTTTTTTTTGGAAGCTTTTTTTTGGTAGGGGGTGCCTCTCTTTTGATTCATAATTGTGTGCAACGCCCATGTGCTGAGCCAGTGGATGCCAGGAATCTCTTTTGCCACTTCTCAACTCTCGGTTTTTCTATTGGGCGGCAAGCCCTTGGTTACCTACCATAGAGGCTGGGTAGTATTTGTCGTGGTCCGGTGGCGAAATACAGACCATCCAGCACTACTGGACATAGTTCATGTTGTTTGCAGGGGACCGAACCCAGTGCTTATCGGAATCGATCAACCAGGGGTAAAAGCAGTGGGATTAGTTTATTGCAAAGGTGCTGTTGGGAAGCCATGGGTAAGGTAATGGGGACCCAATGGGTTTATTGGTAGAGAGATGTCAGCACTCAAATTGCTGCTTGCAGTATTAGTATTACAACATTACGTAACATCATTTATTAGTTTTCAAAGGGTGTAGCCCCTGGTTGCTCTTGCGGTTCGCTCCAGTGTCTATTGGAATAGCGATTTATTTGGGGGCTGGGGGAGAAGGAGAAGGCGAGCAATGCACTGGTTTATGTGGGTGCCCCATCCTTCACTTTTGGAGGAGCACCCCCGAGTAATAGGACGGTTTACTATTGTTTACCAATCCGAGGTCAACATTCTGGGCCAAAGCAATTACAAGTATACTCCTGCAATCACTAAATGTAGTTTCCAAATACCCAACCCCAATCGAATTTGGGCCCTTGTAGAACTGTTTGGAAACAATGGGCGTTTCTCAAAATGGTGGTCGTCGAAAATTGTGCTTTCCTTTTGTTTCTCCCCTAAATACCAACCCAAAGGAGGTCCGTCACTTTGAGAGACTTCGAGATGAGGAATCCCGCTAAGACTGAATGTTTTCTCCGTTCGGCTCAGATTTTTCCAGAACATCCCAACTTCAAGACATGCCTGATATGACCTTTTTTTCTGCATGGCTAAGCAGAGACTGCAAAAACCTTTGCAGCCATGTTCCTGAAGCTTTGCAGCCCAGGACAGTGTGGGTGCTTGGGATTTGCACATCCAGACTGAACAGCTCTTGTCTCACCGAGATGTCTTTGCCTTCGATGTTGTGCCATTGAAACTTATATGTGTGTGGACGGGAGGTGCGCTTTTAGGGGAACCTAGATGTAAACACTTCAAATGGAAGTAGGAGCGAATCCTAGACGTCTCGGGAGGGGAAAGTTGTCCATCAGCATGGAACATGTGCGGGATTAATTTCGGCAGAGCGGTTGCATTTGGCTACCTCAATTTCTGGCGGCTGTACACCCTCAAGGCCCTAAACCCAAGCCCAAAACAACCAAAACCTACACTCTAAAAACCCTGAACCGAACCTGTACGGGGTAAGGTTTAAATATGGCGCGTTGCCCAGTGCAGCTTTGAAAGGGGTAGGGTCGTGTGCGACCTGTTCCGCCGTCGAAGCGGGGTAGGGTGCTAAATGCGACGGCAAAAGGTTCCTATGAAACCGTCGCACCGCTACTTTCTGTAGGAATTCCACTTGAAATTGAGACTTGTCATGGGAATGACATCGCGTTCCCCCATATTTGCAGGGGAAGAAAGCAAGTCCCATTGCCAAAATCCCATAAGAAGGGTCACCAACCCTTCAGAAGTTGGGACGCGGGCCGCTGATTTCGCGCGGATCGCGGGATTTTGGAACCGCCGAGGGCACATTTGCTCTTCGCGGCTCTGACGATGATCCCCTGGCTCGTGGCCTTCGTTGTGCGCTGTAAAGCTGGGTGCCCGCCCTGCCCCGCGGATCGCGAAATGACTTGGTTCCCAGCCATCCGGTTCCGTAGCTTGATTGCTTTTTAGCTTTTCAGGTGGTTTAGTGCTTGGGCTTCCGTATTTAACCCCTAAAGTTATTCACTTTTGGCAGGGGATCTGAGGACAGCCCAAATTTAAAGGAGATCTGGATGACCAGTTTCAAACAAATCACCGCGGAGCCAGGGTCCATGGTCATTGGGAGTGTAAAAGGCTCCCACGGGATCGCCAAGTTGCGTTCGTTTTTTCCGAACACTTTACCGAAAACAGTCAGAGTTGCTGGCAAAAAACGGCAGCTGGAAATCCAGGCATGTTGATTTTTGGGAGTGTACGTTGCCTAGTGTTATCGGATGGTCATAGTAAGGCCAGAGACCTGTGCAACTATGTAGATGGGGCTTCGTGTGAATCACTGACCAGGGTGTTGTAGTCTACTGTTAGTTTGAGGGCGAGGTGGGGCCAGCTAATTTTCAACTTCCCCATTTCTCAATGCATTGGGGCTCAGGGATTTGACATGGAGAGACCTTGGGGTGCTTGAGCCACTTCAGAGCTTTCTGCCCGGATGACCCTTTTTTTGGAGGGGGGATTCCCCTATTTTGACACACAATGCGTACTCCTGAAGGCCCTAACCCCCCTGGGAGCAGTGAGTATGTTCCAAAGGTGCCAATGCGCGCGCATCGCAGGCCTTACAACTCTAACTCCTCTTCGGGGTTCAACCAGACCGGCCCCCCCCCCCCTGCAAAAAAATGTGAATAAATAAGTCGGGAAACAGAAGGTAGTTCAACGAAGGGTTGCTCAAAACCAAAGGAGACACCACAAGTTTTCAATATCCTGTCCGTTGCCCATATCAGTCGCAGTCACAGGTATGCTGGTATGACAATGGCCTATCCAGCCCCTGCAAAGAATCAGAAGTTCAGAAGGGCGACCGCCCCGATTCGTTTTGCTTGGGTTTGTACCTTAGCCTTCAACTGCCCGGATGTTGAGTACACCCCCACCCAACCCAACCCAACCCAACCCAACCCAACCCAACCCAATCCAACCCAACCCAACCCAACCCAACCCAACCCAACCCAACCCCACCCAACCCCCACCCACCCACCCACCCACCCACCCACCCACCCACCCACCCACCCACCCACCCACCCACCCACCCACCCACCCACCCACCCACTCGTGGCTTGCTTGTTGGGCTTCACGGCCGAAGACCTCTGAGATCACAAGATGGCGATCCTCACCTGTGTGGCTGCATGCGAGCCTCGGCTTTTTCAGTGCCAATCTTAAGTGGACTTTTTTGTTTTGTTCATCTCGGATAGTTAAGGGGAACCAAGAGGTGGGGCCAACCAACAGGTCGGGCTTACGGCCATCGTTTGCCCCGCACTGCCATTTGGCCTGACATGGGTTCACTTTTTTTTTCTCCACCGAGCGCACCCATTGAAAACGTGGACCAGCGAACGATGGTCGCAGAGTCTCAGAGTCGCTGCAAGGCCTTGATCTCTATCTGGTTCACAGCCATCGTGCTCCGGTCCTCTCAGTCTTGGGCGGAGCCTCGGCAAGAATTGGATGTGGATTGATCGGGCGGATCCCGCGGGTTTTTCCTTATTCTTTGTTAGGTAGCCCCTAGTTGGTGGCTTGGACTGCGGGTTTAAACCCCTCGGTTTTGCAGAGGGTAAATGGAAAACCACTTCCAAACCACAGAGAAGCTCATCTTTTCCAATGCGAGCCCTTGATTCACAGACGCCTGGATGGTTGGGATTTCGGATTAATATGAGGCCCCTTGTCATTTTATTTGGGATTGGTCTATGGTGCAGTTGTGGTACGCACTAAGTTTGCCCTGATTTGCGCATATCCTTTAAGCGAGGCTTGTAATTTGACCATGGATTTGCAGAACTGTTGATAGCAACAAAGATACATAGACAGACGGCTAGATAGATAGATAGTAACGAAAAACGAGATAGGTACATAGACAGACAGACAGAGACAGTCAGAGACAGTCAGAGACAGTCAGAGACAGACAGAGACAGACAGAGACAGACAGAGACAGACAGAGACAGACAGAGACAGACAGAGACAGACAGAGACAGACAGAGACAGACAGACGGACCGACAGACGGATGATATATATACAAATGTATATATACAGTAGACAGACAGACGATAGATAAATAGACACAAGATAGATAGACAGACAGATGATAGATAGACTGACAGACAGACAGATAGATAGATAGATAGAAGGTAGATGGATAGAGAGACAGATTGAGAGATTGATAGATTGATAGATTGATATAATGGTGGCATGATAGATTGATAGATATATAGATTGATCATGCTGATTGATTATGTTGATTGATTGGTTGATTTGATTGATTGATTAATTTGACTTGACTTGACTTGTCTTGACTTGATTTGAGTTGATTTGATTTGATTTGATCGATCGATTGATTTGTTTTGATTTGAGTTGATTTGATTTGATTTGATCGATTGATTGATTTGTTTTGTTTTGATTTGATATGATATGATATTGATTTGATTGATTGATTGATTGATTGATTGATTGATTGATTGATTGATTGATTGATTTATTGATTGATTGAGTGATTGACATAGACCGATAGATAGATGGATGGACAGGTAGATACATGGATAGAGGGAGAGATAGATGGATGGATAGGTAGCTAGATAGAGGAATGGAGAGAGATAAGCATAGAAAAGCTAGATAGATGAACGCAATCACAGCATGAATAAAGAACGGCATATAGGATATATGTACATATATGGATTTATGTATGTATGTAGAGATTACATAACAAGAGTATAGATAGCTAGCTAGATAGATAGATAGATGGATAGATAGATACATAGATCGATAAATAGACTGACAGACAGACAGATAGATCTATAGATAAATAGATAGTTAGCTTGATATGCATATGTATGTGTGTAGATAAGAGAGATAGACATATGGACAGATAGATAGATAGATAGATAGATAGATAGATAGATGGATAGATAGATAGATAAATAGATGATACAACATATATATATATATAGATAGATTATTTGATCGATAAATAGCTAGTGAGTGTGATATACATATGTACGTTTACAGACACGATAGATAGACATAAGGACAGACAGATGGCTAGACATATTGACTGATCAACATATATATATATATTGTTGTATGGATAGACAGATACGAAGAAGAGAGACAGATAGAACGATTGATCGGTTGATCAATATATGAACAGACAGATAGATATATCAATCGGTTGATAGATATACATATACATTCACAGATATAGATAGATGATACTGATATTGATGGATCGGTAGACGAGAGACTGGGAGAGTGAGATAAATATAGATAGACCGATAATCAGGTGGATAGGCAGGTAGATAGGCAGATTGGTAGATAGATGCAGAGAGAGAGAGAGAGAGACACATACATCAATATTTAGATCGACAGATAGGAGAGATGGTTAGATAGCTAGAAGTCAGAAAGATAGAAGGATAGAGTGAAACAGAGATAGAATCACACTGGCTTAGATTAGATGGGATTCGGTAGCTACGTAAATAGATTAGATTTGGTTGGCAATAGATTAGATTAGAGTTGATTTGAAAACACATATTACATTAGGTTACAATAGATTACGTAAGAATGCATAGATAGATAGGGTAGGTAGGTAAATATATATATATATATGCTACGCCCCTTCCCCTGGTGCCTAGGTTTTGCTTGATTTGAGCGCGCAGGCTGTAGAGTTTAGATTTGTTTGCAATAGATTTTGAGCACAGACGAATGGGCTTGCAGTCCATCATCTAGTATTCCCGTATTCTCCTCGTATTCTCCCTTAGTATTCCCGTAAATTTCCCTGAGTGGTTTGCTAGTATTCCCCTAGTATTCCCCCAGTATTCCCCTAGCATTCCAGTATTCCTCACTTTTCTCCTAGTATTGCCCTAGTATTCCCTTACAATTCCCCAAGTATTCCCCTAGTATTGCCCCAGTTCTCTTGGTATATCCCGAGTAATTCTCAGTCCCCTAGTATTCCCTGAATACTCCCCTAGTATTGCCTCAGTATTCTCCTAGTATTAACTTAACCCTTAGTATTCCCCCAATATTCCCTGAGTGTTCTCCTCGAATTCCCATAGTATTCCCCTGCTATTCTCCTAGTATTGCCCTAGTGCTCCCTTAATATTCCCCATATTCCCTGAGTGTTCCCCTAGTATTCCCCTAGAACCCCTAGATTCAAGATTTCCAGAAAAAGATTATTTTGAAATCTTGAATCGTGAATCTTGCATCCCATTTTTCATATATATATATATATATATATTTAAAAACATGTGAGAAGCACGACTCAATATCCCAGAATTCCAGAAAAGATTGTTTTGAAAGCTTGAATCTTGAATCTTGAATTCCATATTGTCACATTGAAAGTCTCCCAGCAATCTTGGATCCAGCATTCTTAATTGTAGAATTGTGGCACACACACCCCTTCCTTGGTGCCCAAGTTTGGCCCAACAAATGCAAAAAGTCTTGAAAAAGGTGGTTAAAATCAAGCACAACCTAGGCACCAGGGAAAAAAAAGGTACCATATATATATATATGTCTATTTATGCGGGTAGATGTGCAGATGCCTAGATGCACAGACTGATAGTCAAATAGACAGTTGCATAGCTAGATTGATAATGCATAAATATACGCATGGATGAATAGGCTGGCAGATGGATCCAATATAGAAAAACCTAGAGGCCAGCATGCGGGTAAATGGATTGGCCGGGACAGGTACACACACACAACGGTAGCTTTGGGCAAGTTATTTGCATTCGGGTTCATGGCTTCTATGAGGTTTTTCTCTCTCACCCCAGACAAAGGGAGTATACACCTTTATGTCGTTAAACAGCGGGCAACTTCATTCTTTTGCTACAATACGCCCCTTTTTTGTCTAGAGGTTCCTCCCCTCGGAACCCACATCATTTCTGATGCTCAGTAGGAAATTGGGTGTTGGGAATGGTCCTAGGGATTCCCTTGAAGGCAACCATAGTATCATAGGGAATGGTTTTTAGGGGCCGTTCCCTCATTCCCTGCTGAGAACTGGCAAGTTTTGGAGGCGTCGCCTTTCATTCACTTAGTCAATCTGTTCGGCCCTTGGGCAAGTCCGCAGACTTGGTTTCGCGCGTCGCATGAGTGAGAACAGCGGGGTAAAACTGGGTCCCAGGTGCAGAAAGATATCGGGGTGTCCTTTTTAGGTTGGGCACTGGTGAGGAGATGGTGTTATGCCCCATGATCCAGGGTTATCTATGACACCTCCTAGGAGTGGTGTGGTTTCCTTTGCTTTCTGCTCCACACCTTCACCTTCCCCGTGCCCGCCGGACGCTTTTCCCTCTTCCGGAGCGATGCGTCCGTCGAGCTCGAGCTCGAACCTGCTGCCAACCTCCGACCCAGTCGGACGAACACAGGCCCCGCAGGCTCTGACTACGTGCGAGTCGAAGCATTTGTTTGCTTGTTTCTTTGTGATTGTGTGTCTGTTTCTGTGTTGTTGTGTTTGCGTGGTTGTGTCTTTGTGTGTGTGTTTGTGTATGTGTTTCTGTGTTTGTATGTTCCCGTTTGTGTGGTTGTGTGTGTATGGCTCTGTATGCGTGTGAGTTTGTGTGTGTGTATCTCTGGGTTTGCGGCTTGTGCTTTTATGGTTGTGTTTGTGTGTGTGTTTGCGTGCGTGCGTGCGTGGGTGGGTGGATGGGTGGGTGGGTGGGTGGGTCTGTGTGTGTGTGCGTGTGTGTCTGTGTCTGTGTCTCTGTGTCTCTGTGTCTCTGTTTGTCTGTGTGTCGGTGTGTGTGTGTGTGTGTTTGTTTGTGTATGTGTGTGTGTTCGTTTGTATGTGCATCGCAGTGCTTCTGTGTTTGTATCTGTGTGGTTGTATCTCTGTGTGTGTGTATCTCTGTGTTTGTGTGTTTGCGTATGTGCGATTGTGTCGTTGCGTATGCGTTTGTTTATGTATCTCTGTGTTTTTGTGTTTGCGTTTGTGCGGTTGTGTGTCTCTGTGTGTTTGTGTATGTATCTTTGCGTTGGTTGTTATGGTGTGTGTGTGTGTGCCTGTGTGTGTATGTGTTGTTCACTTGTTCGGTTTGTTTGTTTGTTGGCTGGTTGGTGGGTTGGTCGGTTGGTGGGTTGTTTGGTTTGTTTGTGGGTTGGTTTGTTGGTGTGTTTGTGTGTTTGTGTGTGTGGTGTGGTTGTTTGCTTGTTGTCACATGTGTGTGTGTGTGTGTGTGTGTTTGTTTGTTTGTTTGTTTGTTTGTTTGTTTGTTTGTTTGTTTGTTTGTTTGTTGCTTTGGTCGGTACATTGTTTGTTCGTGTGCTTGAGTGTTTGTATCTGTGTGCCGGGATCAGTATCATTAGTATCTGTGCTTGCCTTGGTTTATTTGCATGTGAGCGTGCCATATAGCGAATGTCTGAGATGCGTCTCCTTGCCAGGCATATGACGCCTGAGAGCCCGATGCCAAATTCCGATGTGCCAATTGGGGTCAAACTGCAGTGATTGGCTGCTTGATCCCGAACCAGGTGACTCGCTGATGCCGGAAAGAGCGAGCAAGACATTCTATCAGGGCCCGGCAAGGAGAGGGCGTTTGATTTCTTGGGTTTCCCCCCCTTAAAATGGAAAAAGAAGTAGCCCAGCCCGTCTTGAGCAACTCTGAGCCTTGGATGCCGAGTGGGATCCAGCGAGCACGCGGGGCAGGAAGAAATTCACAGGAAGTTGAACCCGGACACAGCCTAAAGCGCGTATGGCGCGTGTGCCGACCCTTGAATTGATTTCTGGATTGCTGTGGCAGTTTGAAAGACAGCGGCCTCGGAAAATTGCACCTGCGACGATGCTGAGCAACTGTGCATTCACTTGCTAGCTTCATCTAGCCTTCCACTGCAGGTCGGTGTGGATGAAATGCTCTGGGATGACATGCACAAGAATGTGCCTTGAAGCAAGAAGACAGTACCCTCCCCCCCTTCCGTGGAACCTGACAAGACCATTGTCTCTACAAGTGACCCTCTGCTAGGTTCCATGCTAGTGGACTGGAGGGTAAATAGATGATAGGCATCAAAAACCTTTTTAGGCATCAACAAACAACTTATTAGGGATCAATACAAAGCTTATTAGGGATCAAAAAAGACTTCTCATTCCTATGGGGGGAAGGAAGGAAGGAAGGAAGGAAGGAAGGAAGGAAGGAAGGAAGGAAGGAAGGAAGGAAGGAAGGAAGGAAGGAAGGAAGGAAGGAAGGAAGGAAGGAAGGAAGGAAGCAGGCAGGCAGGGAGGGAGGGAGGGAGGGAGGAAGGGAGGGAGGAAGGAAGGAAGGCAGGAAGGAAGGAAGAGATCCCGCAGTTCCTGATTTGTAGAATGTTTACAGTGATTAACGCACCCTTTGCTGAATCATGACTTCTTCGATCATCATCACCCTGTGTTGAATCATCACTTCTTCGAGCATCATGGGGGGGGCTGCCGCCCCCCCCAAACCCTCCCGCTGATTTTCAGCATGTTTACAGAGATTACCGCACCCTTTGCTGAATCACCACTTCTTCGCCACTTCTTCGATCATCATCACCCTTTGTTGAATCATCACTTCTTCGAACATCATGGGGGGGCCTGCCGCCCCCCGCAACCCCGCTGCTGATTTGTAGAATGCTTACAGAGCTTAAAGCGCCCTTTGTTGAATGATCACTTCTTCGAACATCATGGGGGGGGCTGCCCCCCCCCAACCCCCCCGCTGATTTTCAAAAAGTTGACAGAGATTAACGCACACCTTGCTGAATCATCACATCTTCGAGCATCATGGGAGGGGCTGCCCCCCCCCCAACCCCCCTGCGAAAGTGCTGCGCCTGTGGCGAAATATATAATCGCACCTTGCGAAAGTGCTGCGCCTGCCGCAATGCGAAAGTGCTGCACCTGCCACGAACTTTGTACCGGACCTTGGGAAAGTATTTTGCTTGTCATGAACTTTGTACCTGATTTTGCGAAAGTGCTGCGCCTGCCGCGAAATCTGTACAGTACCTTGCGAAAGTGCTGCGCCTGCCGCACAAATGTGCACCTGACCTTGCGAAAGTACTGTGCCTGCCACGAAGTCTGTACCTCACCTTGCGAAAGTGCCCTTTGTTGAATCATCATGGGGGAGGCCTGCCGCGCCCCGCACCTGACCTTGCGAAAGTACTGTGCCTGCCACGAAGTCTGTACCTCACCTTGCGAAAGTGCTGCGCCTGCTCGCGAAATCTATACCGTACCTTGTGAAAGTGCTGCGCTAGCCGCGAAATCTGTACCTGACCTTGCGGAAATGCTGCGCCTGCCACGAAATCTGTACCTGACCTTGCGAAAGTGCTGCACATGCCACGAAATGACGAATTTTGTTTGATCCCTAATAAGATTTTTTTGATCCTCAGGAATAAGTTTTTTTTGATGCCTATTGCCTATTTTTTTTTGATCCCTCACCCGGTAAATCGCTTGTGACAGCCTTGAGAGAGCGACGTTCGCCAAGTCCTTGCGCAATGACTCACCAAGGACATGGTGTGGCCTACGGTGAAAGAGGCGCCTGGATATTTTCACCAGAAAAAGCACTCGGTTTGATGGTTTGGGAGGGATCACTAACTGGTGAGTACCCTTGTTTCTCAGGTTTTTGCGGGTTGTTATAGGTAATTGAAAGGAACATCAAACATTGTTTGGGCCAATTCCAACCTTGTAGCTAAAGCGGGCCCATGGCTTGCCAGGTGCAGGACTACCGCAGGAAGGTCTACAAGATTGTCAGTGATGCCGCCGGCTTAGAACATGTGGTGTTGGTTGGCTGGTTGCTTGCTTGCTTGCTTGTTTGGTTGGTTGGTTGGTTGCTTGGCCGGTTGGTTGGTTTGTTCATTGGTTACTCCCTTTGACTTAGGCAATAAAGGCTAGTCATAGACCATCTATTGGCAAATTGTCGAGGCCTGTAATTTTGTTTGTGGGGCAGATGGATGTGTTCTTTTTGGATGGTACCCGGTTGATTGGTCTAAAAGCGGAAACCAACAATGAAACCCGCCATTTTCGGGTTCCCCTTCTTGAACACTCCCATAATACATGGGTGTGGGTCAAAATTAAACCACCAGGGGATCGCCTGCTTTAGTCATGGGTTCCATTTACCGTTCCATTTTTGGGTTACCCCATTTTTCACCCACAGCCACATGAAGAGCTCGCCATTGAGGTCATCGCCAGCCACAGTGGCCTAGAAGGTGAAGTTCGCATCACTTGGGACCACCCATTGTGGCGCCCAACTCAGCGTATCTGAGGGGTACCAGCTCCAGACCACCTCCCTGGGGCACTTGGGGGTAGCGTCCTCCAGTGGTGGAAAGAAGGCTGACACTTGTCACATGCAAGTAGTTTCAATCCTGTATCCGATAGATCTGGACAGAATCAGCTTTTGATCATCACTCATCACACATGTGGTATATGGCAACTCTATGACAACTAAATGTGGCCAAATGTTATAGTTATACACATGCACATGGTTTTGTGCTATCACATTTTTGTTGGGTCCCTTTTGTGACAATTGCCCCAAATAGGGACTGTCAGTCACTAGTCACTTTGAATTGCTGCAGCTGCAGCTTCTATGGATATCAGATGACTAGTGCAACAGGTCTAAACCACCAAACTGGTTGAAACACCTCCTTGAGCTTTTCCTAAAGGGGGACAGGGGGGTTGGTTGTGACCAATTTTGCAACCAATCCCGTGCCCCTATTCCCAATACCCACTGCTTCCGGATTAGGTGTTGAAAAACAGGTCTTCATGGTAACTGCCTCCTGTTTAGCCAGGGGTTGACACGATGCCCTCAAAAAACGTGGGTATTGGGGCCTGTCAGGGCAATCCTCATGATCAGTTTCTGTTTGCTCAACCATATTTGATCCACTTTTGTTTGCACAACCTTTTGGGCTTCTTTTTCAAACAAACATGGACCCACCTCGATTTTCCTCCAAGGCTTGAATTTCCGGCCAGCCCCATTCCATCACTCCCTTCTCCACCCGCGGGCCGTCCGATCCACCCGTAAACCTCCGGACCCCGGACCCTGGACTACATCCACCGCTGCCGCCGGCTTGATCGCCCGCGCGCCTATGCGCATGCGCGGCCGCGAAAGCGCGCGGGGCGGCTGAGGGGGATCTTCATGGGCATCGAGCACGAGGCCATCCACCTGGAGACCTCCTCGGTGCTCTTCCGCGAGACCCCGGCGCAGCTGATGCAGGTGCCCCGCGCCTGGCCGCAGCCCGGAGCCCAGCTTGAGGCCCTTGTTTGGAGGTACCCCCAAGGCTCGGGTTCCTTTGGATGCGCTTTTTTGGGGTGGGTGCAAGGAAACGCCGACAGGAAAGCGACTCAGTTTTCGGGGGACCCCCGAAACGAGGACGCAGCCGCTTGTTTTGGCTGGGTTTTTTGTTGCTCCGGACCGGCGAAAGGGGGGGCGCTTTGGGTCCGGGCAGTTGGCATGTGCATTTTCTGCGAGAGGGCGAAATGGAGGGTGACATGGCAATGGGTTTGGCACGGCAATAAACATGGAAATGGCAAACCATCATTTTGGGATAGGTTGATGTGCTTGAAGCGGCTTGATTGTATTGGCCAAGGTTCTCCCTTGCAATTGAACAGGGGCAACCTGCAATCATGCTCTCCCGCATGCTGGCAGCCCGCAGTGGGCCAAATCAGAGCACCCATGTTGACACATGAGGTTTGGTTCAAATATCCAGTAGTCTATGGATCAGGTTGGGATGGAGCTCACAAAAGCGTCCAACCAAAACCAGATTAAGAATTCTACTAGGTCTCCCAGTAGTGCCCTTCTCTCCCCTTTTTTGGGGGAGGGTTCCCCTACTAAAATAGACTACAGGAAGAAAAAAACGGGTACCCTTATTCTTAGCTCTCGAATCTGGAGGACCTAGTCTAAATGTTGTAAATGTCCCATGTCCTCTTGGTTTTTCATGGCCCACATGGCTCAGGCTCCACCCTTCCGCGGAGACTGCGCGCCTTCCCGGCGAGCTTGAGCCGGGGACTCCACCGAGTCGTTTTAGTCCCAGAGCCGTTGGAGTCGGTGGCCATGCTTGTTGCACCTGGCTTCAGCGGGGTGAGAGCCAACCCCCCCCCTCTTGGACCCCTTGGAAATGTAACTGCCAGGGTCCCCCCCCCCTTACATAAAACACCCTCGCTTAGATCAACCTACATGAGCTTATATGTCCTTGATGACCCAGGTTCCGCTGACTCAGTGGAAGGTTTGTTTAGGGGAAGGACATCAGCAAACTGTACAAACACAGGGGGTCACTATCCCAAAATCAATGTTGGTGGGACGCACAAATATTGACCGTTGCTCATGGAAGCCTTTCAGATCATTGTCAGTTTGCTAGACCACCACTTCAACAGGTCTCTTGTGGGGTTAAAGTTATATTGCTAAAATTTGCCCGGGGGTCTTAGAAACCTTTCCACGCACTCCATGCGAATAGTGTACCCACATCTAGCCCTACATTGCGAATAGCGTACCCACATTTAGCCTCCACATTGGCCAAAGATCGGTATACATAACCTTGGAGTGTGCGAACATTTCCCTACATGGAGCCAGCTACATGGAGCAACCAGTGGAAGGGCGTTCCCTGAACGGAGTGGCTCCACTTTGGAGCCGAAATTTAGGCATCGGATTGAAACGTGTCAGGCAGCGAGCATCCAGCGGAGGGGCAGGAGACTGCGCAAGACCGCCATCGCAGGGGCGGTCTCCAAACACACCAACCTCCCCCCCCCCCCCCCGGCAGTTTGAATGGGACACACAACCACTGAAAGCCTGGAATGATGATTCTCCTGTAAATGCAAAAATGGTTTAGAAACTTTCAATTTGATACAGAATTTCGTCCATTCACAGTATGTTGTCATCGTGACCTAGAAATTTAAGGTGACATACAACAATGTAGCCTTTATGAAAAGAGGATGAGCAAAAATCTGGACCTAACATTGTGATGTCCTTGCACCCAACTGTGCAGGGTCCAAGGATGCTCAAACCACAAGGGTAGCAAGTACTCTTGTGACAGGGTCGCAGCCCAACGGGACCAGAGACCTGGGGCCGTGATGGTGGCCTGGTCGTTTTCTTGTCCTGTAGAGCACCCCGAATAACGGAATACCCTTAGAGGCACAAGTCTTGTTTTACATTGTGCGCAGGATTGAGTTTGCAATCATTTTGTTGCGTGTTTGTTTTTGGCCTTTTTCCAGACGTAGCAACAACCAGGCATGTATGGCATACTTACCCACATGTACCCTCCAAACGGGCTTGAAATCTTGGTCTACACTGCCCACATGGAGCATATTTTTGCCCAGGTCCCTATTGTTTCCTCGCAGCATTTTTCCAGCCCAAGCCACTGGACGGTCGCCCAAATGAGCAAGGGTCCAGAGTTTCCAGCGATGGGCTTTGCAAAGCTGCCGGATCTGCGGACACTGAAGCCGCGAGTGCCGGGCTCCGAGTCGATGGACTTTCCGGACTGCGAGGCTTGGGAAGGGGCTATCTTTTGAAAGGTTGGAGCTCGCCCAAAAATGGTCTTACCTGTCAGAATGACGTCCCTAAAAGTGCAGAGAAGTGCAGGTTCCGAGAAGTAGGGTGTAGTTTCCCTTTGAGTCACGATTTAGACGGACATTTTGAGGATGTCACTTTCATGGACCCAACGAGGAGCCTGTTCTGGGTGCTTCGCTCAACTAGTCAAAGGACACTTCCTCACCTTTTCAGATTCCCTTTTTCAAGTTTTTGAGGCTGCAGAGAGGTCAGCGAATTTATTGTCGGGCCGAGTAGTCAAATGCTTCTGATTCTTTCATGGCACATTGTCAAGCTGTCTTGGGACTGCCTTCTCCAAATACACTCTGTTTTAGGGCATCATGTCAACCCCTGACTCATGCGGACTCATTGTTTCAGTAAAACCTGGTTGTCCAAACGAAAATCCTCAAAAACATTGGGTGGTTGGGGGGAATAGGTCCTTGAAATGGTTTTTGACTACTTATGTGATGTGTTTCAGGTTGGTTTTGGTAGGTGCCTGGACCTTCCATTGATACTTTTTTTGCTCGCTTTGTGTTGCTGCTCAAATGTACAGTTTGTGCTCGATTCTTCAATTTCTGCCCGAGCAATGAAACAGTGCCCGAGGTTTATCTTTTCAAGTTTGCCCTCGTTTGCAAGTGTTTGCGCTCGTTTTGCGGGGCGTTGCGGGCGCTTTTGCTCACGAGGTCCAAAAAAGAGGACAAGCCAAGAAAAAGAGGTACGAATTCCAAAAACCAGCCGATTGACAGGGGAGGCAGACATTTCAGGTACGTGCAAAGGTCCAGGCTTAGAGCGAATTTTACATCCGAAGTCCATTTTGGGGAGCCAAATCCGAGATTTGATACATGCCCACTTTGACCTTCCCTTTTGTTCTGCTGTAAAACGGAAAACACAGCAGCTGTAAAACGGAGTCAGCTCATGGTCATTATTTTACCCCTTTAAACCCCCCTCAAAAATGATTTGGCAACTTCTCACTTGTTTTGGTCCCCAAAACAAAGACCTTCGCTTCCCCCAGAAGCCATCCCTTTCCTTTGGTCCCCCTACTGGAGCTTCCCTTGGTCTGTAAAATCACCTATCCTCCTTGATCCACTCCCCGGTTGGTTCCCCTCCACCCCCAAAAGGGAGACCCTCAACAAATCACACACAGATGCAACTAGCCTGTGGATTTGCGCCCATTTGTAGCTGGGGGAAGTGGCATGGACGGTGTGACAGCCCTAGGCGCCGCGCGCGGAATTTGCACCGTCCGTGGCCTTTGCCCCTGCTCGGGAGCGAGGTTTGGAGGCGACCGGTGCAAGGGCGGCGTTCTTGAATTTCCTAGATGGGTGGCTCGTCTTTTTGGGGGTGCCCCATTTTTTGTCGTGGCTTTAAAGGAAAACCAAAAGGAAAGGGACCAGTTGATTTGTGGAGGGCCCCCTAAAAATGACAAGCCGCCCATATTTTGATTCAGAGCAAGGGGAGCCATGGGAAAGTCATGTCCCATCCTTAATGGCCTCTCGACACTGTGGCTCCCCCTGGTATGGCTCTGAATCAGAAAGATGATTAACGGGGAGACCAGACAGGGTTGGTTGGGAAGACAACTCAACCAGTGGATTTGGAGTGTACCGTCGTGTTTGTTGCATGGTGAAGCAACCACGCGAATGGCCATGGGTTGGGAGTTTGTGAGATAAAGCAAGGCAAAAGGACGCACACAGCTCACAAACTCCAAGTCGTTTGGGCACCCCAAGTCGTTTGGATCCCGTCACAAAGTCTTTGCCATGTGAGAAATGTTTACATAGTAACCCCTATTTTGAGAGGGCTTCATCTACTCTTTGCCATTTGACCTTGACTTGACTCTATGGCCTATCACTTGAACCAAATCCTGCACATCTACGCGGATTTGAATAAAGATAACACATGTTCGAGCCCTTGGAGAAAAATATCCTCACAGCATCCTGACCTCATCTCTGGCCATGTTTCGAGGTGTCTGTCCACTTCCAGCGGCTGGTGGACGAACTGGTGAATCAGCAGCTCGAAGCGAATGGACGGGACTCCGGGGCTAAATTTCCCCTTTTGGGTTCCCAAAGAAAACCCCCCTCCCAAGTTGCCATGGCTGACACAGGGTACCCCCAAGAGGAAAACCATCTTCCAGGTACCCTCCCTGATGTGCTATGTGTGTTGGCGGGAGGGTAGTCGTTTGGTCACAAACCGTGATATGACCAGGAAGGAGCCTATCTTTTCTTTACGGATTTGGACCCCTAAACCGGTCGCCTTTGTTTTGACAATCAAAAACCCGGGGGGTTCCCACAAAAATGACGAGCCACCCTTTTTCCCAGGTCCAACCGAGCATGTGAGGCACATCTGCGAGATGAAGGAGCTGGAGACCCAGGCAGACCACCTCACATCGGAGGTCCACAAGCTCCGCTCCCAGAACGACGAGCTGAGGCGAGGCGGCGGGCAAAGAAACCATCGAAAATGCCTCGGCGGCCCTTCCTTTAGGTGAAAACTGAATGAAACAAAGCAAGGGGCAAACATGCAGACATACTGTGGATGGACAAAATCCTGTACCACTTTGATAACACGAGAAACCATTATTTGCTGGTATTTGCAGGGGAATGATCATTCCAGGGTCTCTTAGGTGGTGCAGGATTTCATCCTTCCACAATATGAAAGATCCTTTACATGGGATGACTATTGGTTGGAAAACCCCATGATATTTCCCACATAAGGACAGATTCCTGGTCATTTGGGGGCCAAGGATATGTTTGACGAACTTCCATACGTACCCAGAAAAAGCAAAGCAAACAACTCATAGCTCTCCTGAAATGCTAGAAACAGGAATCCACAAACATCCACAGAGGTTGGGGATCCCTTTTTTTAACACAACACAAGGATGTTGTTTTTCTCCGTATGGTTTGGTCACCAGTATGTCAATGCAAAGGGCTTGGCAAACGCCCGGCCCGGCTCGCAACTGGTTGTGTTTTTTTTAGAGGGTAATTCCCCCCTCCCCTCGCAAAACAAAATAATTTGTTAATGTTGAAACGCATGTGGAAACATGAACTGTGTGTGGAATGCTTGACCACAATGGCATGTGCCATTTTGGCTCAAGCATTGTTCTGGGTTCCTGGAACCCAAGCTGATTGAAAAACTTTGATCTTTTGCATTTTCGAACTTAACCCCGACCAAGCAATGGCTTCCTCGGCAACCTCGGCAACCTCGGCAACTTCCTTTGAGTTGATTGAGAACCAGACACTCACCGTGGAGGAGGTTGAAATGGCCAGCCAGGAGGCCCAGGACATTCGCACACGGGAGGCGGCAGTGGCGGCCGGCTTGGTTTTGGACGAGTGCGAGGTCCCCCCGTCAGCTTCGGCGACCGATGTGATGAAGGACCTCTCCAGTGCACTGGAGCGTCTCCGAGTGGCATTTGCCACACCGACTCCCGGCTTGGGTGCCCCTGGCCCCGCCGAGGAGGGCGACAAGGACATGGGGGATGCGGACGGCACGGAGCGGGCCACGCCACCGGAGGAGGCGCAGACGCCACCCACGAAGAGACTGAAGGGCTTCGTGGCGGCTTCTCAGAAGGCTACGTCTCAGGCCAACAAACCTGTCACCTTGGTGCCGGTGGACGGAAAACCCGGGTACTTCAAGCTGGTGGACCTCCCAGACCTGTTTCCAGTCCTTCCAGCGTCGGCGGCCACCTTGCTGAGAGACATCACGGTGGAGGAGGCGGTCTCCCTGTTTCACAAGTTTGTTGGGAAGAACCTCACGGAGGACCTGGTGATCCGCATCTTGGAGGCGTACGTCCCGATGAAGATCCAGCTCCGCCAGGAGGAGGTCTGGGCTTCGCAGTTCCAGAGGAACAAGGCGTGTATCGGCACCCAGCGCATGTACAGGCTCGACGCAGGTCATTCCGACTACAAGTTCATGTGCAAGGCATGCGGAACGGGGTGGCCAGAGGCAGCTAAGCAGTGCTGGGTCTGCCCCGGCAAGGAGTTCGCCCCCTTCCAGGCACCCTCGGCCACCTATGAACCTGCTCATCTTGGCGGGCAAGCCGACCTGGATCCAGCAGCGGGAATGGGGAAGCCTGGGTGCCGTTGGCCCCGGTGGTACCCTGGCACAGGCCGACCGCAACTTGGTGGACGGCACGGTCTTGGGGAGAGCCCCTCCAAAAACGGACTCGGCGGATGAGATCACCATGGCAGATGCGGTCCCGCTTAACAGGCGATCCTGTCCATGGAGGCGGACGACGAGGCGTTGAAGGTCCGGGAAAGCCAGGAGATCAAGGTCAAAGTGCAGCGGTCCCTGAAGGAGGCGGAGGCTCAGAGCTTCGAGCTCTACCATCCCCAGGTGGACCAGGCGATCAGGAAGAAGGAGGAGCTGCATAAGGCCTTGCGGGAGCAGCGGGAACCGACTCCGGAGGAGGCCTCGGCCAGGCGGCGGCACAAGGAGTTGGTCACTGAGGAGATGCTGGACAACGAGATGGCGATCCTGGCGCCCCCTCCAGGAGGGCACGCAGGCCCTGCCGTCAGATGAGGTGGCCAACGACAGAGCCCGTGCCCTGGAGCGGTTCAAGGCCAAGCTGAGAGACCAGTACTTGGAGGGGAAGGGCGTTGACGCCTGCCAGGCATTGGCTGAGGCGATGGGCTCCATTCAGGAGGCTCAGGCGGCAAACAAGCGAATCCAGGACACCAACCAGGCATGGCTCAACCACACTCTCAAGCCCTGGAAGTGTCGGCGTGGCCGGATGATCTCAGGAAGGCCCTGGAGAGGGGCCTATTCTGCCCCCTGAAGCTGGCCCCCGGCGGGGGACATCAAGGAGAAGTATGTCCCCTACATCAAGATGCTCAGCGTCGCAGAACCCGTGGCTGCTGGAGGAGATGCCCGAGCTGGAGGCACCGGCCCCCCCCAAGGGTGCCACCGGCCCCGAGGGGAAAAGCTCATGTTCCAGCAAGACCTGGACTCTGAGGAAGGCAAGCTGTCCCTTATCCTCTGGGCAATGAAGCGCACCAGGGAGAGCTCCGGATGTTTGGGGGGGTTTGGAAGAAGCACGCAAGCGGTGAGATCCCCCGGGGCGCTGACCAGCAGTTTAAGCTCGCGCCGGAGGAGCTCCTGGCCCTTGAGCGCAGGACTCACCCATTCACGTGCGAGCAGGACCACATCGACCCAGTCATCTACACGGCCTTGGAGATCCGAGCTCAGGTGAACCGGGCCGAGCGCCCGGCACCTGAGCAGGTGGTTGGTATCTTCTGGGCGAAGGGTGATGGGGTGTTTTGGACCAGACAGACGAGAACGTGGGACCTGCCGAGCCTGACGGGAGTGTACGCCCACAGGTTCACATTCAAGTATATCTACTCGGCCTGGACCACCTTCCCGTTGATTGTGAAGACGCAACGCCGGGGCCGCAATGCGGAGGGCTCGACCTCGGACAAGTGGATGGGCAACATTATCCAGATGAGGAAGGAGGCGGTGCCCTTCCTGGAGAGCCTGGGCATCCCCAAGCGGAGTGGAGTTACATCTTCAAGGAGATGGGGACATTCTTGGCGGCAAAGAATTTCATCGTGAACTGCCCGTTGCCCGTGATGGAGATGCCGGTGGCCCCCATCCATGACAGTAAGGAGGCGCTGCGGTTCAGGGCAATTTGCGACGAACGGATCACCCTCCCCCTGGCCTCGCTGAAGGCCTTCGACTCGGTCTACACCAAGTTGGTGGCGGGCCTGAGCAAGTCGTCGATGGTGGAGGTGAAGGCCAATTGGCGCTGCAATGTGGTCCACGACTGGGTCGAGCAGGTCCCGCAGGAGGCGGCGGGCTACTCCCAGGACCTCGTCCGGCAGCTGCCCTTGGGTGCCGTTGGCCTCGGGGGGGGAGCGGCCAAGGAGGCGGACCCAAAGGCCAAGGTCCTCAGCTTCCTCCCCTCCTCCTCAGTGCCTTGGCGCAGGCACATCAGGACCAACAGCTCCCTGTGCGTCTGTCTCGGGGAGAAGGACTCATCCGCCAACGTGTCCCATAGGACCCTTGGAACGCGGTCCCAAAGACGTGTGTAAGGCGGGCGCATAAGAAACTTGGTAGATACCCTAGCCATGATGAAAAAGGGGGGGAGACCGACCAGGCGGGGGATTCCCCAAAACCCCAAGGCCTCAAGGAAACCAAGAGTCGGCCGCAGCCACTTTTTCCGAACCGTGGCTGAGATGGCCCGTCCTTGGGGCAGCTAATGCATGTGGCGTCATGGTCGAGGAGATCAAGCTGCCGTGACGTGGCTCCACTGCCATGCAACCAGAAGAACCCACGTGCGCCAAATAAGAGAGGAAACAGTGGTGAAAACCGAGCCCAATAAGGAAAACCCTTTCCCCCTCCCTCCCCGGAGACGGGGCCAAAGGCACCCAAGTCCCGGGAGGAAGAAATCACACTACTCCCACATCCGACAGGGTTGTGAGACAAAACCTAGCGGCTCCCTCCCTTCAGGATCGCCTCCTTCGCCACCGAGTGGATTGCCGCCAGCCCCGACTTCTCCGGGTTGCTCAGGATGACCGACCACAAGGCCGTGGAGACATCCCCCAGGCCGTTCGAGGAGCTGAAGCGCATGCGGGGGGTGCTCACATCGCCCAGGACCAGCCGCTGGGAGGCTCCGTTGGCTCCACCCTCTTGTGGAACTCCATCCGATCGCGGATCCACTGATTGTACGGGGGCTCGTCCCTCACCAACTGCAAGCAGGTGGCCTTATCCCTGTGCCACCCCGTGATCTGGAGCATCCAGAAGCCCTTGCAAAATCTGCACATATAGCCCCCCGTGGTCTTGAACTTTTCCTTGCTCACCACTTCCCAGGCACTGATGCTTGGCAAGACCAAGCCACACTCCACGGAGCCCCAAAACACATGCTTCGCCTTTTGGCCCGCAACCGCCGTGACCGTGGCCGTGGTGATGGGCGGGTACCGCCTGGTGCCCTGGTCTGGGGTGCGGAGCGTGGTGTCTGCCCCCCCCGGGCGGAGAGCCGGCAATCCGCTTCTCTCAGCTCCTGGAACTCTCGGGCATTCCGGTAGGACAAGACGCCCACATGGTCCCGACGGACTACTTCAACGGCCTGGTGGCGTCGGCGGCAGGCAGGCTTCCCGGAGGACCTGGCCGACCTGTGGGACAGCATATGGTTCCTCCTCCTGGCGACGGCGGATGGCAAGCCGAGCGAGGACTTTTCCCCGCTGGAGAATGAATGGGACCGCCAGGACCAATTGAGGTGGTTCTCACGAGATGACCCACCCCCACTCCAACAACCGGAGCTTCTGAAGTGGAGGCACTGGCGCCCGGGCAAAATAAGGGAAATGGAGCCCACGACCCAGCGAGCGCTGGAACTCCATATGCGCGGGAAATGGGCGGAACGGCTCCTCGCCCACTTTGCCCCGTTTGCGGAGCACATCGCGTACATGCAGGACATCCTGGGGGAGGACTTCCGCAAG